TCACAAACAGGAACACTGCTGCTCCAAAGGTTTTAATTATCCAAAAAAAAAAAAAAAAAAGAAACACACTGGCAGAATGTCAACATTTCTGGCTCTGGTACTGACGCCTTCTGTCATTCATGCACCACTATGGTCTCCTTTGCTCCATCTGACATCCAGAATACCACAATGTTTGTCACGTCCAGGACAGGGCACTGAGAGGCCGCTGGTGAAGGCAAGCCGAACCTGTGAGGGGCTAACAGACAGCAGAGGACCCTCAGGGAAAGGCCTATTTATTTTCAATCTTAAAAAGGCTTCTCAAAGTCAAGAGTAGGATTTGTTTGTCTGTTGTTTGTTTTCAATGTGAGAATTAATTCCTTATGTGCAGGTTTTTAAGCTTTAACTATTGACAGGTTTGTTTGTTCTCGTTTTGTTTCACTCTTCTATTAGAAACCATGTACATGCAACACATTTTTTTAACAACTTTCTTAAAATTGAAGCAGAATTTACTTAATTTATTCCAGTACTTGTGACTAAAGCACAAGGTGTGAAATAAAAATTAGTTGAGTGCATTTCTGCTATGTCCTCTGAATTTCTTAAGTATAATTAACTGACTACTTCTGGAATACCTATAACCTTAGTTACTGTGAGTTTAAAATGCCGGCAACATTCCTGAGGGCACCCGGCATACACACACCAGCCCCCACACATGGGAAACAAAACCTGGTGCTATTGTCCCTGGACACTGGGTGTCAGTAATTTGACCTGGGAACTTGGAGGAAGGAAGGTGGAAGATGGAGGAGGGGACCACAGATGAAGGGACATGGTTTAAATTTTACTGTGAAAGGAGCTGATGGGCCTCATGGAGGGAGGGGCCGAAGCAGTTCTGGAAGGGAGAGTTGTCCTGGGCAAGAACCCTGGAGGCCGCAGGAGAATCAGGCTGCATTTCTCTCCACGGTCAGCTCTTCTGCTCCTGCCTGTCTGAGCCTCACAGCTGTGCGAGTCCTTGCGGCAAGAAGTAACAAGTTGCAGGCCGAGGCCGCATCTGTGTCTTCCCAGGAAGGGTGGTGTGGGCGGGAAGAGGCCGGAGGGCTCAGGCATCTCTTTCCTGGGCTTTAGTTGCCACCTGCAGACTTTCTTTTAACGGGATCTAGACCCTGTTAGGAACTAGGACTTGAGCCTTGTCCACCAGCCCTGCCCCTGTGCTGGGCACTCCCCAGCAGAGTGCCAGGCAGCCAGGCTCTGGGGCCCTGGCACACGGCCCACCCTGGTCTTTCCCTTTTGTCGCCCTGAGGGCTGTGTGTTGTGAGTCAAGTCACTGGGCAACCAGGGGCCTTCCGAAAAGCCCCACACTCTCTGGCAGCTTCTGTGTATTCCAGCCAAAGCTGCAGAGAAAGGAGGGCACTGGGCTCAGGGGAACCCATCCCAACCTTCCTACCAGCCCCTGACAACTAGGCAAGCTCCCTCCAAAGAGGCTCACATGGAATATTCTATGGGCAAGTAGATCCCAGCTCACCTCTGCTCAGGTGGGAGCTGGTAGCTCCTCCCTGTTAAATGCGCATCTCAACGCATTTTCTCCAAGTGAGACTTGAAGGAAAATAGCCAGGGCTGTGAACAGGTGGGACAGGAGGGAACGAGCTCCTTCACTTGCTTCTGTTGCTCTGCTGGCTCAGGGACAGGGGATGGGACAGGGGAAGACTGGCCTTCCTTCCATCAGGAAAGATTCTGCACTAAGGTAGTGCCTTGCAGTGAGTCCTGGGGTTTCGTGGCTCCAGGCGCTTGTAGTAGGTCAAGTATTTTCTCTTTCTAACTGCTTCTCCTCTAGGCCATAAAAGCTCTTTTCTTTTCTTTTTTTTTTCTTTTCTTTTCTTTAACCTCCAAGCTCCCTTCAGGAACGGCTACACCTTCAGGTTGGGACATCCTTCCTCATTTGCAAACCTCAGCTGTGTGTGGGGGCAGGGCTGCAGTGGAGCTGCCAGGAGCAGAAAGAAAGGCTTCTGAGTAATAGCACTACAACAGCCGAAGGGAACCGGGGGCAGGTCGATCTGGGATGTGACGGGCACCAGGAGGCACCTTCCCCTAAGGACATTTAAGATCAAAGCCAACGTTTTCTTTCCTTGGTGTATTTTGCGTGGTTTGGAGACTAAAGCACATCTGAGAACAGGTATGATTGATCTCGATTTTCCCTTATTGGAAGAGCTTGTGGATTCAGGTCTATGGATCGGGAGTGGGTAGCATCCCATTGGAAATCCAGTCGCATGTATCTCACAGCCATGTGGGCTGCGACGGGGATGGCCCATCAGGCATTTGGAAGAGGCTTGATTTTGGAATGCAGTGGATCTGATTTCTTCTTGGCAGCTTCCCTTTCCCAATTATGCTTGGCTTAATCTAGTAGTCAAATTACTTTGCAGTCCCTCAGCTGATCCTGAAAGCATACAGAAAGGACGGAGAGGATACTGTCTAAAAAGGAGCCTGGGTGGTGGGGGAGGGAGGGTTCTGGCTGGATTCTGGAAATGTTCCCTGAATAATCCACAACCCAATCCAATACACATTGGCCCTTTGTTCAGCCCAAAACTGAAGGGAACAGGCTCTTTAGAACACTGGTCAATTAAGACCATGTGCACCCTTTCAGTTGTTTTGCTCCCTGAATGTAGCTCAAGAAGAGATATGACAGGTATTTTGAATTGATTTTATTAAAAATATAGGATTTCTTGTAATGAATATAGGTTCTGATTCAAAGATACAGAAATCTTAAAATCTAGACCCAGTACTCTGTATTACCTCAGTAAACAAATGTCTTGATCATTTGAGTTCCAATCTGAATGTGGTAATTCCATCAGAGTGAAGTTGTTTTCCTTTTTGTAATGTAGGAAGAAAGTATTTGACAAAATTTGATACTTTTTTTTTTTTGGTGAGGAAGATTAACCCTGAGCTAACATCTGTTGCCAATCCTCCTCTTTTTGCTCAGGAAGACTGGCCCTGGGCTAACATCTGCGCCCATCCTTCTCTACTTTACATGAGACGCCGCCACAGCATGGCTTGACAAGCGGTGCGTAGGTCTGCGCTTGGGATCTGAACCTGTGAACCCCGGGGCTGCCAAAGTGGAACTGGCAAACTTAACCACTACACCACCAGGCTGGCCCCTGATACTTTAAACAAGACAGCAGACGGAATAGTGAAACTGTTCAAGAGATTAGACTGGTTTTTCTAACGGTTTTATAGAATTCATTGTTCACATGAGAATATATTCATGAATTATTAAGCAGCTCAGCCAAGTTTTTTTAACTTTAAATCAAGTTAAAAAAAGAAAAAACAACCTCTAAGTTGAAGGGCCTTGGGTAGATAGGGTAGTGAGTAGAGTGTGTATGTATTCAGACGATATTAAAGTTCAGACACTACAAATACAGTCTGGCCAACCTCTACCTTACCAAGTGGAAATTAATTGATTTTTATGATTTAAAGTTTGAAATATAAAAGAATAGTAATTTTTTAATCGTGTATGGTGTAATGTCTGGAAAACTTCTTCCTGTCCTCTCCCTCCAACGACGAAATGTCAGATGGTGAAGTCAATTTACCGCCAACAATCTTGAGATTTAGCTGCTAGGTTAATCGTATGTTTTTGGTAAATTGAAATTACTGCCTAGAAAATTATTCAGCCATAGATTCTCCACGATGTAGTACTATATACTGGTCAAGATTCCTATTTCCTCTGCTTCCAAGTCAGGTACTTCACCTGTCCAAGCTCAAGATCATTTGTAAAATGGAAGTGATAGCATTGCTCTCTTAGAGTTTTCTAGAGGATTAAATATGGTTAGCATGATAGAAAGCACTAACAAAATGGCTAGAACATCGTCAGTGCTCAATAAATGGTTTTATACATACCTCGCACACATGCAGCCACACAATTTGCATTTTTCTTGTATTTTGATTGTTTTCTGACCCCACCATCTAAAAGCAGGAGGTCAAACACAGTAGAGGGCCCTGCTGTGTGACAGTGGGCTGATGGCTCACCTAAGGAGAAGACAACGGGAACCAACAGGTCCTGACATTCTCTAGTGTGAGTCCACTCTATTCTTGTCTTCCATTACAAAAAAACAGTTAAGAAATGACAGCCTTTTGTTTTGAGATGTGAGTAATCCAGTAGGTGAATAAGCCTTCTCAGGTGTATATTATTAATCTCCATCAATTTTAATTTAATATATAATAACTACGAAGTTTCCACATCAACTTCCTAAGAATCTCATCCGAAACCTATGATTCAGATTTGTTGTAATTAGCATTTGAGGAATTTTTGCACTCTCTTTTATTAGAACTAGCAAATATTCACTTTATATGCATGCACTGGACTGGTAAACCTAGCTTTGGGGCTACCTCTCCCGCTAACCAGCAAAGTGGGTTTGGCCAAGTCACACCCACCCGCTCTGAGCTTCCCTTTCCTTGCACATCAGATAAGGGTACTGAACCCAGTGATACTGTAGCTTGTTTCTTTCTGGCTCTGAGAGTTCTAGTTCTAAGTTCTTTTTATTTCCAAGATCAATGCATAAACTAACTTTCAGAGCCACTTTCTTGATTTTCCAAACACTGCTGGAGAAACCAACTGACAAAATTTGAATTTATAAAATTTTAAAAAGACAAAAACCAAACCACACTCATCACTGAAGCAGGATAATTTCTAAAACAGTTTAGCTGTGCCAAACAGGAGTCCTAAACAAACTTCTGTAACTTTGAAGGGGAAAAATGTGGTGAGTGAGCTAGGAAGGACACACACACACACACACACACACACACAGGAGTGATGGGATTAAATTAAAAGAAATCGATCCCATCAGATAGGAATCCTCCCCATCCACAGTCTGTTTTTCAGGACAGGCAAAACTCCTCCCTCCCACCAAAACCAATCTGATATTTTATAAACTAAGTTATAATTGTGGCTAAGGAGAAGCAAAATTATTAGTGTAAAGTAAATAAACATTTCCATTTTATATGTGCTTTTTAATTGAGCAAAAAGGTCCCACTGATATATACATATACATATATATATATATATAGCTAGGAGTATTTACTTTTTTCTTTTTCTTTTTTTTTCTTTTCTTCAGAGAAACACAATAGTTTATCAAATAACGAAATGGCTATGATGCTTCAACAGGGCTCAATTTTAACAAGTCAAGTGGGCTAAATTGAAAAACAGACTCAACAAATCATAGTCATGTACAAGCCTATAAGTTTTCAGAAAGCATTTGCTTTCAAATACTGATGGTCCTTGATGTTTTTCTTTTTAAATTTTTATCACATTTGCCCCAGTAGAGCTTTAAATAAACCAAGAAAATTTGAAGAGGGGAACTCTTTTCCTGTTTCTCCATGGTTTAGTTTGGAGTCTGTTTATGTTTGTCATAAAGCTGAGAAAAGATTGTGGAGAGTAGAAAGGCTCCTCCCCATTCCTTCCTAGATACCCAAACAATTTAACCTCAGCAACACCCAGTCTTTCCAGTTCTTCCACGCTCTCCCAGGGCCCTTGGGCAGCCTTCCCCTGGCCAGGTCCTGACATCACCGCCTGTCTCAGAATACCCTCCTCAGGATGTCCATTTGGCCAGGCAGGTTGGGAGCAAGAGTCTCAAGTTGCCCTAATAGTGGAAATGTGCTTTCTCTCTCCAGTTCAAATCTGCTAGGTAGAGGAAGGGGAAAAAAGAGAGTAATGGAAAACTTAAAATGGCAGGTTGGAATGTAATTAGTGTTTGTTGGTGTAGACATCTGTAGGTGTGGCCACTTCAACAGTAAGTGGGACAGAGGCACAGTGCCATCATTAAGTACAGGAACACTGTTTAATGGCGGTGGAAGTGCACCCTTCAAACAATGTATCAATTAAGAATCAATGTGTCCAATTTCAAGTTTTATAAAAATCCTTTCAACCAAAACAATTTCAAACCCATTAAAGAATACATTATTGAACAGTTTCAAACCCTTTAATAAAGACATTATTGAAAATGAGTTGAGCTTAGAATATACACTGACACACATGGAACTTTGATGATAAAAATAAATGGGGGACCGGCAGGCAGCGTAGTAGTTAAGTTTGCCCAATCTGCTTTGGTGGCCCGGGGTTCAAGGGTTTGGATCCCAGGCACGGACCTGCTCACCACTTATCAAGCCACACTGTGGTGGCGTCCCACATACACAGTAGAGGAACACTGGCACAGATGTTAGCTCAGGCCCAATCTCCCTCACCAACAAATAAGTAAATAAATCAATAGATAAGAAGGATTTAGTTTTTCTTCATTGTCTTACTCCCTTGGAAAACTTAAGATGGATCCTACTATCATCTTTATTCTGGTCTCCCCTAGCCTCTCTTGTCTGCTGCTTATTTGGGTAATTGCCGTAGATTTTTCACTGAGTTGCAATGAAGATTCAATGCGTTACTGTGTATGAAGCACTTAGAACAGTGAGTGGCATGAAGAAGGCATTCGGTAAATGTAAACTCGCACTATTACTACACTTCTACTACCACTACTACTCACCTTACCGTCAAGGTAATTAAAACCAATGTTCTGATTTTAGAACCAAACCAGTTGCTCTTTCACAAGATCCCATAAGCAGGTACCACTATTCTTCCAAACTCTCAAGCTAAAAAAAAAAAAAGTCAAAAATCTAGATATTCTTTACTTTTCCTTCATATAAGGTACTAATTTTTCTGTTTTTTATACTAGAAATATTACATCTATGGTATCATATAATTCAGAGCCTCATGTTTTGAAAGGTACTTGTAAACTGGGAAGTAACCATGCATTCTGAAAAGTGCAGAATCTAGAGGTCACATCTCATGAAGAATAGTCAAAAAAACTGGGTAATTTAGAGCAGAGAGAGAATGAAGGGGACACATGATTATGTCTACAATAACTGAAGGACCAGTATCGTGGGATAAATCATCCTATGTTCATTTGAAAAGTCAAGCCAGGACCAATATGTAAATTGTATTTTAAAAGGTAGATATGGGCCCACCCCGTGGCTTAGCATTTAAGTGCGCGCGCTCCGATGCTGGCAGCCCTGGTTCGGATCCCTGGCGCGCACCGACGCACCGCTTCTCCGGCCATGCTGAGGCCGCGTCCCACGTACAGCAACTAGAAGGATGTGCAGCCATGACATACAACTATCTACTGGGGCTTTGGGGGAAAAAAAAAAAGGAGAAGGATTGGCAATAGATGTTAGCTCAGAGCCGGTCTTCTTTAGCAAAGAGAGGAGGATTAGCATGGATGTTAGCTCAGGGATGATCTTCCTCACAAAAAATAAATAAATAAATAAAAATAATAATAATAAATTAAAAAATAAAAGGTAGATATGTTCTCAGCAGAAAGAAGACGAGCTTTCAAGCTTCATATGTTTATTTTGTGTGTTGATATTTTGAGGCATCTTTTGCCTTTGATTCTTGGCAAGTAGTTTTAGCAAGTGAATAATCCATCAGTTTATAAATAGATCTAGTCAAGTACCACAAAGAATAACAAGATGAACAAAATGGGATACATGTATATAATTTTTTCTTGCTTCTATTTTGCTTGTGGGCTGTCCATCATCTGTGATGACATTTATTTGCGTTGAAAGCAGAATCTTCCCTATCTCTCTGTCTGCTTGCCACCCACTGAAAAAGCATAGCCTTGTACTAAGAGGAAAACTTGGTTGAGCTGCATGCCTGGTAAACACATCCGCACTCCCATATGGGTGTCCATATGAGCAACTGCGTTCTGTACGGCATCGCCTGATTATCTTTAATAGAGTACAGTAATTGCTCTTTTTAAGTAAGCTCATAAAAGAATTGGTTTTTTGTGAAAACAGGGAACAAAGTCATTCTCTTTCATAAAATGGTCTTTACTGAAGGAGCCAAAGAAAACTGAGGGAAATCTCAAATACGTCTTTGCAGCATTGCTCACTCCCTCTCTTCTCCCACCTCTCCTTCCGCACTTCACTCCCACTGATCCTCTCAACTAGATTACTACAAAAACTCCACACAGTGTCTCTAATCCCAGTCCTTTCACCCGCTTCCAATACCCCATACACACTGTCAGTACCATCTTCCTGGTTAATCTCCTGCCTAAAAAAAAAAATAAAAAATATCCCATTTATAGCAGAGGGAAGCCCAAACCCCTTATCCTGCTATGCAGGGTGCTTCCTGATCTGGTCTCAACATGCCTTCTAACTTCTCTCAACCAGTATCCTCCCTCATAGCCTTTACTCCAGCCAAACCAAATATCTTCTCTTGTTCACATTCCATGCGTTCAAAGCGGAGTTCCTTGGCTCGTTCCGCCCCCTCTCCTTGGAATGACCTTTCACAACATTTTCTTCCTGTGATCTAACCTATCTGTACCCAGATGAGCTGGCAAATAGAGGTTTAAGGGGCTTACTCTTCTCATGTAGAAAGAAGTCCCAACATCACTGTCCAGTACTGGCAGTGAGATCCCACAGAAGCATGGGGAGCCCAGCCTTCTTTTAGATTTTATCCTTCTGCTCGTTGCCAAATGTTTGCAAAATGACTGCTCCATCGCCATTACCACCTCTACGTTCCAGGAAGGCAGAAAAGAAAAGGCAAAATGTCATGTGGCAGCTAAGTCTACCTCCTTTTTGAAAATCTCCCCATCTAGCAATTTCCAAATATATTTCATTGGCCAGGGTTATATCACACTCTAATCTTAGCTACAAGTAAAGCTGGAAGACATAGCTGTTTACTAGTCACATGCTTGCTCTGAAGAGATCAGTGTTGTATTAGTGAGGAAGGAAAATAAGATGGAATCAATACACATTCAGCAGCATTGATCACATCCTTTAAGACTTCTTCAAATAGCCATCTTCTCTAAGGAGGTCCCCAGAGCCTCCCAGGCAGCTATCAATGCCGTTCTTGCACAGCCTTATTCCTGGTTCACTTTTAGAATTATCTCACTTTTCACCGAAGTCTGGAACTTCACAGTGATCTCTGTACCCTCCAGTGCAGCAGGCACGAAGAAGATCCTTAGTATATATTTGAATGACAACCTGATACACCAGGAGGAACAGGAGAACGACCTTCTGTGTTTAGGTGTGATTGTGCTCCACTGTAGCACAGCGTGTCCCAGATAACCTGATCCAGGCAAGAAAACTACTGCCAAGGGGCCGGGTATGGCCCACAGCCGGCTTCTGTGCAGCCCAGAAAGCGAGCATAGTTTTTACATTCTTATAGGGTTAAAAAAAATAAAACAAGAATATATGACAGGGGCTATATATAGCCTGCAAAGCCTAAAATAGGTACTGTCTGCCCTTTTACAGAAAATATTTGCCAACCCCTGACTTAGATAAAAACTTAGTACCTTTGTGCTGTCGGTCCTTGCGTGCCATGTTATTTAGGGTCTGGTTGTATTATCCCAGACTTCCTGGAACCATCACTGTCCTTTGAAGCCACACACACAAGAAACCCTGGCAGCATCGGTCCTCCTGTCAGGAAGACGGAGTGCCCGCCCCACCCCGCAGACGTCCTGGGGCCCCTCCCTGGGGCCCCGACTCGAATCTGCCAGCTAGATGCCCAGCTTGGAACTAAATTATATTCTGGGTGATTTTTTTTAGGTAATAGTGCTCTCTCATTGCTATGTAAATTATTAGGACAAAATAGATGGGAGTTCCCAAGTAGAAATAAGCATGAGGCCCAGTGATTTGTATTTCTCCTCTCTTCAGTAGATAACTTGCGCGCGATTGAGCGAAATGGAGAAAGCGATCTTTTTTTTCTTGACTCTGCTTCATAACGTGACTAAATCATCCAAGCTGATGATTTGAGCAAGTGTGTGCAAAACAGTCACCTAAAAGCTATTTTCTTTTAATGTTGTGTCAAGTATATTTTAAAGTTATTATAACAACGTATAAAATCTTCCTACCTATAAGTGCAAGAAAGGCAGGAAGCTGTTTTGTCTTGCTCGTCACTGAATGCTGCATGCCTGTTGCAGGGCCTCCTACGGAGATGGGATTTGTCAGCAGTCACTGTGCGTGCGTGTGTCTGCGCGCGTGCGCACCTGCCTCCTCTTCACCCCAAGACAATTAGGTCTTGTTTCTATTCACACGTCACCTTCTATTAACGGTGAGCTAATCTTTATATAGAAGAAGTTAAGAAGTTCTACTGCTTCCATATAAATTCTACTTTTTCCATATAAGTTCTACTTCTTCCATATAAGTTCAGAGTCCTGCAAAATGATATATGAAGAAAGTAAGATTTACAACATTGACACGATTTCTGAAGGTCAAATAGACAGTCATTAGTGGAATCAAAATCGACACTGAAGTGCTCGGTCAGTAACACCAAGGTGCCTCTCTTCACTCGATTCCTGTCCTATAAACATAGCAGGTCCTCACATTTCATGGATTTCTTAACAAAAAGACGTCATGTATTCCCAAGTAAAGTGAAGTTTCATAAAAGTACTCGGTAAAGGTTTAGAGCAAACTAACTGAAATATCAAAGCACACTCTATTAAAACAGAAAAGCTCAGAGAAAGAACCCGACAAGTTCCTCGCAGAGCCCGGAAACTTTTATATAGCCTGGAGCAAATGCACTGTATATGTAAAACAGTAAATGGTAGAATAGAAATAGCCCAAGGTACAGTACCTCTTAAAATGAAGAAATTGCATTAGTATTCCTCTCACTAGAGCAAGTTTACTAACCGAGTGTCGTGGAAGCATTTTTTTTTCCAACAGGCGCGTGCAGTTGGGCACCAGCTAAAACAGCACAGGTGTGACTGTTATACTTTCAATTGGTAGAGCATTTTTCTCCCTCAAAAAATTCCAGAGCTGGGGCCCACCCAGTGGCATAGCAGTTAAGTGTGCACGCTCTGCTTCCGCGGCCCCAGGTTCACAGGTTCGGATCCCGGGTGCGCATCAACGCACCGCTTGTCAGGCCATGCTGTGGCGGCGTCCCATATAAAGTGGAGGAAGATGGGCATGGATGTTAGCCCAGGGCCAGTCTTCCTCAGCAAAAAAGAGGAGAATTGGTGACAGATGTTGTTAGCTTAGGGCTGATCTTCCTCACACACACAAAAAAAATTACAGAGCTTTCATGCAAGCATAATTATAAAAGTGCTTATGTCATTGGCTCTGAACTTAGTATGGAAAATTTCTGTGAGAAAGACAAGGAATTCTTTTCCTCTGGATCCTGGCGCAGCACATTTGTCTTATGTACCTTTAGTCACTGTGTTTCTGTTTACAGCATTTGAAACACTCTCACCAGAGCAAAGGTCCCAGCGCTGATAAATCAGACGGCAGACTGGCAGCTCCGGGAACAGCAGAAGCCAGAGTCCACTTGAATCGCTCACACTCCTAGAGGTCAAGTTCAGGCCCGATCTGCCTGAGGCTCCTTTTAACGCTGGTTTGTCGTGGCAGGTGGCTGACAAGACTTACCTGCGAGGACCGGAAACATGCACTGTGCCATCCAAAAGGCAGAAGCGCTGGACGGGGCTCACTTGATGCGAGTCCTCTGGCAGGACGGCGCAGAGTCGCTCTACCCCGCCGTGTGGCTCAGGGACAATTGCCAGTGCCCTGATTGCTACCTGGATTCTGCAAAAGCACGGAAACTTCTCGTGGAAGCGCTGGATGTGAACATTGGTATCAAAAGCTTGGAGTTTGACAGAAAAAAGGTAATTATCTCCAAAGTCTCTCTCCCTTCTCTCTCAAGTTACATAAAGGGCTGGTCTCCAATAATTTACATAATGAATGATTTTTCATTTGATCATATACAACTATATATATATATATATATATATAACCATGCGTGTAGAGTGCTTGGTGCAAAGTAAGCGTGCTCAGCAGACGGAAGCTTCTGCTGTTATTATTACTATTTTTATTACCATTCCTACTATTTTTAGTAAAATACACAGTGTTGTTCATTATTCCCTCAGAGAGTGGCAGCCCTGGAGACACAATCAAACTGTTTCTATAATAAAAGGAATGTTCTGGGCCTCAGTTTACTCATCTGTGAAGTAGGGCTGCTACAGAACTTGTTCAAAGAGATGATGTGAGGATTCAATGAGATACTCTGGGTAAAAAGGTTTAACGTGGTGCCAGCCATGCAGTGAGCATTCAAAAACTCGTATTGATTAATATTTTTTAGTCAAATTATGAGTAGATGTGCAAAGCTTTTTCTGGGATTCCCAAAAGTGTAGCTCTCAAAACCAGACCAGATGTGGCCTCCGCCCTGTGCTTCTCTCTTCTGAATTTGCTAGGATAGTTATCAGAAGAGCAAGGTCATCCTCTCCCCACTCTTTGGTCTTCTCGACTCCAGGACTTTACTCCTGGGGACAGCTTGCTAGCTGTGTGACCTTAGAAATGGTGTTTATTCTTCCATTCCTCACCTGGAAAATGTGAATGTTAGGAGTACCTTCTCCCTAGAGCTGTGTGGGGCCTAAATGAGCTGTGTTTGTAGGGCTTGTTATACAGTATACTCTCAAAATGGCATTATTTTTATTATTATCCACCTCTTCATCATCATTACTGTTTCTGATACTCTTGGCAGGAATCTTAATTGACAGGTAACTTCAAGTCATCACAGAAAGTTTGGGGACCACAGGTTTTGAGGATATAGAACAAGAACTACAGATCTAGTAAGATTTTCTTTCTTGTGTGAAATTTGAGGGGCCTCAGACCTCAGATGGATCCCCTTGGCTTTCAATTTCCTTGTTTTCCAAAAACTTATTCTATGCTTGTGAGTATGTAAGTGAAAAAAAAAAAGCAGTTACTAATAGGATTCCCTGATTATCTTAAATAACATTCAGAAACTGAGCAACAGTGGATAACTGAAGTATATAAAAGCATATATACATATAGGTGATGTTTGCTTTCTGTGTTATAAGGTTCATATCACGTGGCCAAATGAACATTACAGTGAATTCGAAGCTGATTGGCTGAAGAAAAGATGTTTTTCGCAGCAAGCCAGAGAAAGTCTCCAAAGAGAATTGTTTTTGCCAGGTAACTTTGCCGTGGTCTTCAATGTCTTTTAAAACTCCTATGGTAAGAAATTTGCTCAGAAGCAAATTCAAACCCTTGTGCGTTGGTTAAAATATTACTGTAATTTGTGTGTAATGTTTAATGATTTACCAACACAGATCATTTGGGTGGAGATGAAAAGAAATATAGAGCAGTTCTAGACATTCTAAAGAGATAGGAAGAAAAGAAGTGCATCAAAAGAAATGTGTCCTTGTCATCTGACGTGAAACCTGGCACACGGCAGACACTCCAGAAGTGTTCGCTGCAAAAGAGCAGGTCAAACCAGAGGCAGACCAGCCCTGCTTAATGGTTTTCTCTGAGGCCACAACAACACCCAGTCAACACAGCAGGAATTCCTAACCTGGCATCCACAGATTAAATTATGTGATCCATGAACCCCACGAAACGATATACACAGCACTGAGAGTGCATGGGTGTATGTGTGTGCCCGTGCGTGCGCATGTGTGTGCATATGCATGTGTGCGTGCATGTGTGTGCATATGCATGTGTGTGCACGTGCACACGAGCACATTTGCTTGGGGAGAGTTTATATGGATCTTTAGGAAATCTGTGACCACAAAAATGTTCAGAAAATCTGCAATAGATGGATTCGGCAGAAAAAGAAGAGTCTATTCTTGAGCTGAGAGACAAAATAAAATGAATACTAGAGACAGGTAGAAAGCTATTTTTAAAATATGACTTTTAGGAGCTAGGCAATAACAGAGCCCAAGTGGAGGTGCTGGGGAAAAGTGGGAAGTGTTCATTGTCCCCGTGTGCAGTTTGAAGATTTGTAACGTAATATTATGTGGGTCGAATGTAAATTCTAAAAAACAAGATGATTCTTATGCATTTATTCGAACCTGGACTTCTGTAAACACACCCACAAAGCAAGTTTCCCTGAATTTTCTTGTCTGTTAACCAGACATCCTGGACCACTGTCCCTTTGAGCAACTGGGCAACCTTGTTGAATTTCGTCACACCTCTTCTGAGAATTCTGGGTCATACAGCAAGACAGAGATTTACCTTACTTCTTTCAAATCTGAAATTCTCAAACACGTGTAGTAACTCTGCACGGTTTTAAATGCTAGATGTACAGCAGTTCACTGGGTGTGGAGATGTTACTAGTTAATCAGCTTGAACCACACAGGTGCACCGTGTCCTACAGCTGTCAACAGGGTATGATATTGCCCCCTTCCTGCCCAAGCAGAGGCCAGTCTCGTCAAGAACTGGGTTCCCCCACTCCCTTACTCTTACCGTTCTGACAGGGACAAGGTTTTGTTCCAGTGCTTTCTGTCTAAACCGCCAGCACCCATTTTCCTCTTTCTCTAGCCCCGTGAGCTGGTGGGATCCAGAGGGGTATCCAGGGAAGACATTTTCCCTGCCTTCCCCCCATGAATGATTGCTAGATTCTTGAAGGAGTCTCCAATTACATGACTGAGTAGCAACTGTCCAGGTCAAAAAGTGGTATCATGAATGTATTATTATTTTTTATTTATTTTAGATTTCTTCTGATACTCAAAATATTTTTCCTTAGCTCTGCCCTAATTTTGTAATCCTGTTGGATTTTACTTTAATCTCCTTCAGTTTCTTCTTTTGATTATTTCAGGGAATAAAAGCCAACTTTTTAGTATTACAGCTTAAGCTTTTAAGCATTGTAAAAGGATATGGCCACCCCTCCATTAACATTTCTCGATGATTGCAGTTTATAGCTTACATTGCTCAGTACTATCAGGCAGTAGCAAAACGGCAGTGGTACCACATTCAGTTAAGTAGTGGAAAAATCTGGTCACACTCCTAAGCAGCAGGCATGAAGAACATGAGGAGAACTGGCTGCTATTTAGACACTGGAAAATATTTTAATGGTTTAAAACAAGATCAGATTTTTAAAATATATTCTCAAGCTGTGCAGTTGGTGGGTTAAAGAAGAGATTAATGGGCCATTTTTGGAATATTGTTTTTATGGCTTTTTGCCTGCAGAATTTGATACCTTCTTTCACTGCCATTGCATATTTTCAAATATTTATACTCCAGAACATGTAAATAAACTCAGTCACATTTGTGAAAGGGTTTTGTTTTTAGTCCTCAGTGGCAATATTTCCTTTTCTGCTCTTTCCTGAGAGCGAGGAAAGCCTTTTAAAACCTGGTGTCGAGAGGCAGGCCACTTTCCCTGGATCTTCCCTTGGCACTACATGTTGAACTCAGAGATGAACGGACAAATGATAATCAGCCAGAAGAAACTCTTGTCATGGGACGGTCACAGCTGGAAGGAAGACATGGGCAATAATCACACCCTCATAAATTTCTATTCAGTTGCACATATAGTGGGCACCCATTTTGTGCTGGAAAGTCTGTAAGAAAATACCATGTTAAAAAAAAAAGACATGGATTCTGTCAGCAAGGATTTATCAAGTCTAGGAGGGGACATTAACCATGAAAACAAATAAGCATAATACGTTATTCTAAGTACATTAACGCATGCCTAGAAGGTTAATTATAACACGGAGGAGGGAGTCTGAGGAGATCAGGAAAATGTCCTCAGAAGGGAGGTAACACTTGAGCTGGGTTTTGAAGAATCAGTTTGTCAGGCAAAGAGAAAGTAAGGAAATTCTCAACAGAGAAAAAAGTTGGTAGAAAGTCATAGAAGTGTAAAATAGTGGGGTGGGTTCGGGAAGCTGCAGGTGGTTAATATTGCTGAGGATAAACTGGTTAGGCAACAGAGGAGAAGGAAGGGGCCAAAGCAGGAAGGGGCTGGAGGGCCATCCTAGGAGGCTCAGTTCTGCAGCCTTGGGCAAGGAAGCCTCCTCAGCCCAGAGCTCAGGGCTGATGGACGGTCCCGGCCATCAGATCCCGGGCTGAGTCTGCAAGGCCAGGGAAACGAGTTTAAGATCATTATGCGTTTAGGAAGAAGATTGCTTTATTTTTTTTAGAGTGCATTTTGCATTTTCAGAGTTGTGTCTTTCTGATTTTGACCAAATGCATGTAATTTCTCAAATGACTACAAGTTTGTGAATGTCTCCTTAGCTTTGTTTTTCTCTTGTTGCATTCCCTCCTCCTCCAGCACACTCCTTTGGCTCTTAGTTTGTATTTATTTTACAAAAGAGAGTGAAGTGACTGGTCTGTGTTGTAGGAAGGGCTTGGTCACGGCCATCTGTGTTGGATGGACTGGCTGGCGTTCAGAGTGGCTGGGAGCAGGGTGACCGTAGCGTGGCCTAGAAATTGTCCTGCAAGAGACACTAAACGCGTGAACCGGGAAAGGAGCAGAGAGGGTGGGAATAGAAGTCATATTCAAGGGAAACATCTATTTACAGTAGGACAGGAGGTTGCTGGCCCTGCTCTCCAACCTCTACCAACCTAAGACCTGCCCATTGAAGACTAGCATGCGAACGTTTCCAAACATATGGATGAAAATTGCAGACTTTCAAAAATATTGGAAATATGAAGATTTTTTATGTAATTGCATTTTAATTTCCATGTGAAACTGATATAATTATACACTCATTTTTGTGACTAACTTCAAGATGAATAATTCCCATAACATAACGAATAGGACTAAAATGGAAAAAAATCAACACACAATATGATCTTGTACATATGAACCTAAATATGGTTCTTTTTATTAACACTCAGTCTCAGAATGAATGCTTGTTTTTCTCTCTGTCTCTTTGAATTGGTACTGACATATTTCTATACTATTCTCTGACTTTAGTAGTATTTGTTATTGCAAATTAAGATTTCATGGTTGTACTTTGAAGAAAATCTTTTTTCCACGGAAGCAGTCTGCTTGGTTTTCTCAGCAATTCAGGGTCTGAGAAATTGCACAGTCAGAAAAGAACATCTCCCCTCAATTCAATATACCCTTCCTATAGAGGAGCAAGTCTTCACCTGTCTCCTAATCGGATATGCGACCCTTCAGTCCAGGGCTATAACCCCCTCCTTTGTTTCAAAAGGAACATGGCACGAGAGGGAGAAAAACTCTCCAGTGACCATCAGGGCCGTCTAAGTCTCTGTGCCCTGCACACGGCAAGAAAAAAGAGAGCTCCCCCTTTCTTGCAGAGGGCCATGTGTTTACTTGAAGATGGAGATTTTGTTATAGTGCAAAGAACAGAACTGGTTTGGCATAGAGGTTATTTTTACAGAGATTTATCAAAAAGAAAAAAAATCACTATTTTTTTTTAATTAGCAAGTAATGCACACAATAAATATGCCTCACTCCCATGAATATTTCGGCCCTGTCTCTAAGCCGTGCCCCATCCCTCAGCCATTCTTGAACCCCCAGAGGTGGCAGTCTGCAATGCACGTCAGGGATGGAGTCAGGGTGTCTGTTTCGCATATTAAATGGTAATTATAAATGGGCTGGGATGTCGTTTTCTTCAGGCTGCCTTAGAATGTCCCAACTGTATCGGGGCTGCCAGGTCAAATAGCTTCAGAACAGCTCTGTCAAAACAGCTGCATCAGAGCAATCAAGCTACCACATCATGCACCCAAATGTTTTCCCTTCCCAAGAAAGACCTAATCAAGATTCCTTCCCTGAGGTCAGCCAGGCTCACACTCTGATGCACAGGTGGGAGAAAAGCTCAAAGCATGTTTAAGAAGCAAGTCTATTCTGTTTTGCCTATCGTATGTGAAACAGACCTATCGACTTTCAGAGAAATGTCTTTGGGGTTTTGACGAAATGAAGACGGGTATCTTAAATGCCTGTGAGTTTATGAGTGCATATTTTGCTTCATTTTTCCTCTGTGTCGTATTCCATGTCCTATTCTTTTCTGAATTATATATCATTTATTATCCCACTCAATTTCTGTTTTGTACTTGGTAGACTCATAACCACATACTCAAAGGTAAATATTAAAGCTAAGTCTAATTTACAACTGGATACACTATAGAAATTAAAAAAAAAAGCCTGTATACTACATCTATTACTTTAAAAAATTCTTAGGTTAGAGACATTAATTATATTCTTTTTTAAAAATAATTTTTTATTA